CCATTATTGATACAAAAAAGGTTCCAAAAAGGAAATTTTCTGAAATTTGGGAGAACATCGTAGTGATTCCGGATTTTTTTTACCAAATTATTTTTCATTACTAGTATTCATTTGGTATCTGATTTCTCTATAGATAGCTGATATTCAGAAAGAGGTCTCGACGAAGAGCATTTCAAGGGCAAAGCGCCAATGCTGCTATCAGGCGCAGACCAGTTGCTGTCCTCAACAAACACAATGCAACTGCGTCGCTCTTCAGCTACAGGTAACCTACTTTTACTTACAAATTCGGAACTCCATCAAGAATGCCTAGATCTCTTGCCTTACCGAACCAGTAAAACGGGGCCCACGCACGTGCGGTTTCCTTGTTTAGAGTTCACAGGGATTCCCACCTTAGTTCGACGACCTCTCATTGAGCAAAGTAACTATCAAATATGACAGAACCATGCCTTCGAAGCACACAAAATCAGTGCTACTACTGCTGCATTTGACCAGAATATCGCGGGTAAATCTCAAGAAAGAGATGTCAAGTGTGGGGAGAGGAGGGGAAGAGTGGTAGTGAGGCGCAAGAGCGGCAGATAGCTCTCCAGAAACGAGTTTTTGAGCATTATAAAACTGCGACAACCTTATCCAAGACAATCATCAAGCACTGAATCTATAGGCTTTCTGAATTTTTGCAGAGAGGAATTCTGCTCCACAATGGATTTTTACCATTTAAAGGTTTTCTCCGTCAGGACAAGCTCACGGTCAGATATTCTGGGTAGTTTGCCAATATGCTAAAAGAGTCAATGGTGAAGAAAAAAAAAACGGAAAAAGGTCGCAAATGCTCCCTTACAAAGCACCTAGTAAGCGCATTTGTACGAGCAGGGGAAGATGAAAGGATGGGTCGGACATCACCGGGCAAGAAGTGTTGTGGTCAACAAGGTGGCAATTGCTTCTGGCTGATTTCTTATTGTCAGCAATTTCCTTGCCTACTTTCTTTGGCAGATCTTCTGTTATTTGGCTGGATAGGGCGATGGGGAGGTCGGGGAGGGGGTAGTCAAGGAAGCTGGCTGGGGCCGATTAGAGGAATTATGGTATCGGTACCCTCGAGACCGTGCCTTCGCTTTTGCGCCCTAGAAATGGTGCAACCGCTACCAAGACCAGTCTACCTGTTCACAAGGGAAAAGGAAAATTCACCTAGTCAGTGGCACCACCTGATACTCAAGAACTGTTTCGAAAAATCTGAGGAGGGTGATCACGTTGAATTCGGGATGTAGTGCAAAAAAGCCGCGCTGAACAAAATCTAGTGGGGTGTCTTACTAAGCCCACTTCATGTTTGAATGTATGAATCAGTTAGCATCCTCCACGAGTGCGTGAGTGTGGTGAATGGTCAGACCACGGAGGGGATTCGAATGAGGTCCTGTTTAGAATGTCGCTCATCTGCGAAATCGCCTTTCAACGCATATTCGCAGTGTGAACATCCCGCACCGCACCCAAAAATCGCATTCCCGCGCCTGCTCAATCGCTGTTTTTGTTTTGAAATTATCTTCCTTTTTCGTATTTCTAACTTTGGTACTGATGATACTGTTGGAACAGAACCTCATGAGATTTCCTGCTTATGTTTTGGGCTATTCAATATTGTAGAGTACTTTCTTCCGAATAGAAGCTAAAAACGGTTGGCGTTTAAGTCTAGGTGTAGATTTAACCCACCAATGATTGAAGGCAAAAGCGCTAATAGATCCCAATTAATCTGAAACTATTCAATCCCGCTTTGGAATTCGTCTTTCATCCAACATTCCATCACAATAATAGTGGCTTTGAGTACGTCATGATCCCTGCAAACGATTTTAGGGCGATAGGGACGGACGGCGCGTGGGAAGCGTAGCCAGGGATGATTTCCCACCAATTGTGGCGGGCGCAGGATGACATGACACCAAGGGCGCCTTGGCAGCGCTCCATTAAGCACCGCGTCGCACGCCCAATCATCCATATCCACCCTATATCAGGGATTATGGGTGTACATATCGGACATACTAATAGTATGCTGGGTGAGGTATGAAGAAGTCAACATTTCTATGATGGATCTCAGAAGTATCCTTTACCAGTAATTGATGCAGGGGAGGACAACTGGTGGCCCATCCTGGATTCAGGGCACGATTCATGATAAAACCTGCACTATGGCCATGTAAGTGGAGGCAGTCGCCTTAATCCTAGTTCCTGGCAGCACTTACCTAGTTCCATTCTGGAAGAATGATTACCGGCCGTGTCGATGAAAGTTCAAAGCGTTTTCATTCTCTCTTCTCTTCTCGTAAACAACATAAGAAAATGTTGCCGATTTATAAATCTTGGCATACTTCATCCGATCATGTTATCGATTCAAAGGTAGTGGGCAGCTGGCTGGGGCGGGTGGATACTGCCAGCGTCATTGGCAGAAGGGCCGCGAGAGAGCCTATGGCCACACTTCACTCAGCCCTTCCACCAATGATATGGGCAGTAACCGCCCCCCTCCAGCAATACAGGGGAGGGGCCAAAAAAAGACACTTTTCTTCCTTGACTTTCAAGGAAGAAAAGGTTACGCTATAGGTTACACTTTAACAAAATTCTGATTGGACATCTACTGCCATATTCAAGAGCATATTGTATACTGTCATTATACTCCGCCACAGCCTTCTGGACGAGCGCCATCGAGAGATTCTGCCACGCGACTGTGATTCGGTGTTTCTCCGCCACTGTGGACCACCCTCTTGAGCTCCGCCCGGATCGGGTAATTGAGGGTTTTAGGTCAGGTGACACACTCAGATATTCTCAGCTTCCTCAGGTACTCAACGCCCTTCCATTCCAAGTAGGCGAGAGTTTTTCCAACGCTCTTCGATTCCGTGTGGAGGCACCCAATCCTGTAGCAGTACGAAGTTTCCAAAAAGGTACGGCGATGACATGAAGGCAGGGTATTCCCCACGAGTTGGTCGATGTAACCGTCAGCGTTCACTTTCAGTCCGGGTTCACGAAGAAAATATTGGTCTTCCCATTCCAGGTACCTCCGGGCCATAACCCGGGCCTTTGGCGAAAGCCACCTGCAAGATAATATCCTGAAACTGAAGCGACGTTGTCGGAGCTGCTCGATGTTGGAGGTCTTCCAGATCGAGTACTGGTCTCCAGGTAGCTATCCATGGGTGACTCCATACTAGAAGTTTCGCAGCTGTTTGGAGGTGACATGAATTCCAAAGGTCTTCTCCAGTCAGGCTGCGACTGGAGATGACTCATATTTTGCCGCCGTTGCTACATGAAGGTGATGGGCGAAAGGCCTGCTTCTGCTTATAGAGGAACATCTTGGGTATCTTCCGCCCTGGTACTCGCATTCATGTCCTCTGTCTGGGCTGCAAAAACTATTGCTGATATGTGACTCGGCCAAAGTGTCTTTTTTTGCCCCCCCCCCTGTTGTGCCCCTACCCTTAAGTCATCCAATATTATACATCACTAGGCTTATCTTTCGGCGTCTCCGCTTTCGTCACAACCTGAAAAGTGGAAAAAGCGTCAGGGCTCGTTTCTTCAGAACCTTTTTGTTCTTCTGACTCGCTGTTTAGTTCCAGTAAATGTTGGGCACGAAAAGTCTGTGGTGATCTGTGGAATTTCGTCCAGCCTCAGTACTATGTTACCTGTGAAATGTAGCGCCGGGGAGAGTGAGAACAAAAGATGCACTGAGGGTTTTGTATAGTAATCCTAACTCAAACAAGCCATTACAGCTCATCTACCGTTGCTAGCCTGGTGATGTATGCTATATAGTCCCCCTCGAACGGAGGTATTTTCCTCCTCTGCATCCCCTAAGCTGTACTCTGAAGGCCGTGAGGCAATAGCCGCGCTAATGGATAGCGGGAGATTTCTCCTCCTACACCGTGTGCAGTGGGAGGTCTCCACCTCGAGTGGACGGATATGCGGTCTGGTCTCTGATGAACAAGTATACAATCTTTCTGTATTTCAGGTGCAACAATGCGATTGTGCGAACATGCTGCAGCCTCAATGCGGTTGTCAGATGCCACCGAACCCCAGCTGTAATTGCGGTCAATTACAGCAACAGTACTCAAGCTGTGGATGTGGTCCATTAACATACCAGGTACTCATGTTCCTATGGGAAAAAAATCGTCCTTCAAAAGGTTTTTCTTTCAGGTTTCCTGCAATCAATGCCAACAGCCAGCGCAGATGTGCGCTCCGTCCTGCATGCCAGCCTGTCAGCCCAGCTGCATGCAACAGCAACAGCCACAGCCACAGATAATCGTCGTCCAGCAGCAGCCCCAGCAGCAATGTGCTCCAGCTTGCATGCCGTCATGCCAGCCACAATGTATCCAGCAAGCCTGCGTGCCTTCTTGCCAACCCATGTGTTCTCCGCAATGCACTCAGCAGCAGCAACCTCAACAGATCCTCGTCATTCAGCAACAGCCACAGCAGCAATGCGCTCCAGCCTGCATGCCGTCTTGCCAACCTCAGTGCATTCAGCAGGCTTGTGCTCCAGCTTGCCAGCCAATGTGTACTCCACAATGTGTGGAGCAGCAACAGCAGCAGATCATAGTGGTTCAAGCAGCAGCAGCAACAGCAGCAGTGTGCTCCATCGTGTATGCCTGCCTGCCAACCCCAATGCGTCCAAGCGTCGTGCGGTAGCAACTGCAACCAGCAACCCCCACAAATCATCGTGGTCCAGCAGCAGCAACCTCAACAACAATGTGCTCCAGCCTGTATGCCAGCTTGCCAACCACAGTGCGTCGAACAGCAGCAACAACAAATCATCGTTGTTGCGCAGCCTCAGCAACAATGCACTGCGTCGTGCATGCCGTCCTGCCAGCCACAATGCGTTCAACAGGCATGCGCTCCTGCCTGTCAGCCCATGTGTACCCCTCAATGTGTGGAACAGCAACAACAACAAATCATTGTCGTTCAGCAGCCAAAACAACAACAACAGCAGTGTGCCCCAATATGCCAGCCATCCTGCTCTCCTCAATGCGTTCAGCAACAGCAGATCTGTGTTGCTGCTTGCGAGCCCAGCTGTCAGAGTTCATGCAGCTCTAACCCTCAATGTGTACAGGCATGTCTTCCGAGCTGCGAGTCGTCCTGCGTTCAGCAGTCAGTCCCCGTCGTTGTTGTACAACAAGCTCCCCAGAGCAGCTGCCCTGCCCCGTGCCAACCGTCTTGCACTCCTCAGTGCATTCAACAGCAGCAGATCTGCGCATCCGCCTGTCAACCATCCTGCCAAAGTTCCTGCAGTGGTAACCAACAGTGCGTGCAAGCTTGCATGCCGAGCTGCCAGTCATCTTGCACACAACAAGCTCAACAGGTGATTGTCGTCCAGCAGCAGCCTCAACAGCAGCAATGCCCTGCAGCCTGCCAGCCATCATGCCAACCGCAGTGTGTTCAGCAGCAACAGATCTGTGTCCAGGCATGTCTGCCAAGTTGCCAAAGCTCTTGTGGTGGAAACTCCCAATGTTCACAGACCTGTCAGAGCAGTTGCGAACAGTCTTGTGGCACTCAACAGGTCGTCGTTGTTCAAGCCCAGCCTATTTGCGGGCAATCCTGTCAGGTGAGATATTTTAAAGGGTCGTTCATTTATTTTCAAATTTTTACAGCATTAATATGTTTTTAACAACTGTAAGATGCGAGAGAGCTCCCAACGTTTACGAAATTGACCTTTGGGCTCTTTCCATTGCATTCCAAGATGGTGCCTCCCCTCCGTATTTTGAGGGTTGTTTGTAAGCTGCACCGAGGCATCCAGCAGGAGTCTGCCCGCTTCGGTGGCTTTTGTCTGCTTCTCCTGTGACCTCCTACATTCTGAATCTCTCCTCAATTAATCGCTCTATCGGAGTGATGGACCGAAGAGCCCATTGTTTGATCGTCAGGCCGGTCTGTAACATCAGCAGCTTGCAAAAAGCGATGGAATGAAAAGCGATCCGAAGACAAAGAGATGAAGACGCGCGGTAAGGGGTTGGAGAGAGTACAAGAGCGCGACCATCGGTGGCGAGAGTTCGGAGGTTGGATGTTTGCTCGTAGGAACCGTCGACGTTCACTCATTAAGGCGTGCATCAGTGAGCGCTGAACTCGTGTCGAAGCTGCGCAGGCAAACATTCAAGCACGCGAGCATCTCAACCGACAGCGCGTTCACTTCAAATCGCCGTCGACATTTATGTCATATCGGCGCCTTCTAGGGTCCGAGAACTCGAGAGCAAATCCCCACAATCGGCAAATTCCATAGAAAATGGGAACTGCAAGAGACTTCTCATTGGAATCCTGAAATCTTTCTGTTCCATTATTAGGAACAGTAGGGTAGCGATAAGAACACCATATGCGGTATCCTTGTAAGGTTCACTCCCAGAGATGGAGAGCCCACGGGTGCATACTTCATTCAAACGTGGCAGCAGCTGCGCTTCTGAAGGGATATTCCAGTTTCAGAACAGTTGCAACCATGATTTTGTGGAGTATCGAATGGAAATATCCCACAAACAACGCATTTCACACCGTGTTCAATTGAAGTACGCAGCCACG